AAAAAAAAAAAGTGTGCAATCATAATTTAATAATAAATACTTCTTAACTTCTTATTATTCTCATATAAATATTTTTATTCTAAATTTTTTTTTTTTTGTTTCATATTATTTTTTATTCTTGTTTAATAAAAAAAAAAAAATAATTTAAGTATTATAAATTATTTTTTTTTTTTGTTAAATGTATATATATTTAAACATATAAATATATTTGTATTAATCTTAAATATTTGTTAATTAAAATTATACTTATATAAGGTTCAAACATTTATTAGATCATTTTTTTTTTTTTTTTTTTATATATATATAAAAGGGAACCCGTAAACATTTGAAAAATTATTAAAAAAATATTTGCAATAGCATGTGTATATATTTTTATAAATTAATGAAAAATATAATAGGAAAATATACTTTTTAATAAAATTATGTATAAGAATTTCTCATTTTTAAAATTGATAATTAAATCTAAAAATATAGATTAAAAAAAGAAAAAAAAAATGCTAATATTAAATTTAAACACTCATATAAAAAATTCTTCATTTATTATTGTTACATATATAAATTACTTAAGCAATTTGATAAAATTATTAAAAAAATTTTCTAAAATAGAAAAACAAAAAAGAAAATTTCTTAATAAAATAAGAATTAGTGGTAATAAATATATATTAAACTATACTAATTATAAAAATGAAAAAAGGAAGGAAGAAAAATGGGAGAAAAATAATATAGAAAGAGAGTTAAGTAATAAAAATAAATTTATAATTATAGTATTAAATGAAATTTTAAAGCAAATAGAAATTTTTAAAAACTCCAAAAAATTAATTAAATATTATTCCAAATGTATAAAAAAACTAAAAAAATATAGATACAAAATTAAATTAAAAAAAATATTTATTGAAAATATTTTGAGAGATGTAAACAAAGAATTTGAAACATACATATATGATGTACAATATATCCACTTTAAAATAAATAAAATAAAGATTAATGAAAAAAATCAAGAGGAAATTTATCACAATAGAGAAAATAATTATATAAATTGTAAATCTATAGGAGATGTGTATACATTTTTATTATATAATTTTAAAATAAAAATTGAAGCAATTCTAAATTATATTTACAATTTTTGTAAAAATATAAATGATTCAATTAATAAAATTCTTAGAAATATTTGTTCAACTTTAATTAATCAAAATGATACCTTTTTTATAAATCTAAAGTAATTTATAACAAAAAAAAAAAAAAAAAAATCTTTTTTTTTCTTTTTAAAATAATTTATCACTTTTTTTTAACTCGTTTAGAAATAGAAAAATGTATTTAAAAGAAAATATAAATATAGTATTCTTAGAGGAAAATAGGTAATTCTTATTTACAATAAAAATTTGTTAAATATCATATATATATATTTATATATTTTATTCTATATTTTGATTAACTCTCATTTTGAAAAACATTTTATATACTTTTTTAGATTAGCAATGAGAGATATTGCAACTTCTGAAAAATATAAAAATTTATTTAATAAAAATTACATAAATGAAGATATAAATAAATTATTATTTCATTTAAATGAGTTAAATAATGAGAATGAAAATAAAAAATATAAAGTAAATAATTTTAATTTAAGAAATAACAATAAAAATGTAACAAATAATAGTTTAAATGGTATCACAAAAAATAATGAAAATGACGATGTTAATGTAAATGAAAATCATTACATAAAAAATGAAAAAAACAAAATAAAAAAAGAAATTCCTTATATAAAAAATATAGATAAGGAAAATGAAAATTTAATAAATGAAGAACATAAATATATTATATCCAATGATAAATATATCAACAATATGAAATATATTAATATAAATAATGAGAGAAATTTAAAAAATCAAATGAAATGTGTAAATATTAAAAGAAATAATTTTAAAAAAATACACTTAAACAAAAAGGAAATAAAAGAATTATCAATTGATAATACTCCTAATGATATAATATTGTAATGATACATTTTTTTTTTTTTTTTTTGAAATGAAAATTATATATGTAATTTTTATAAATGATTCTTTAATTTTTTTATTTGTATATTTATTTTTTAGAATTAATTTAGATGGAAAAACATCCTCTATGATTTATGTATCGTAAAAAACATATATTGTTTTAAATATATGATTATTTTAATTTTTCATATATTTTTTTTTTTTTCTTTTTCTCCTTTCATAATACTTATTTAATTACATATCGTTTGTAGATTTTGAGATTATATAAAATATTTAAAAGAATTTTCAGAATTAATAAAAAACAAATTTATATGTATTCTGAAAACGCGGTTGCAAATGAGGTATAGCAAAAAAAAAAAAAAAAAAAAAAAAAAAAAT